CTATTAACCATTAAATATTTAATACATAATTCCATCAGATAAGAGAGAAACTAACTTAAGATACACATTTACTTTGCATATATGTCTCAGTCAAAATCTAACTGGACTCTATAAATTGTATGCTAACCATGAGAAATGGCATCTTGGAATAAACACATCTTGTCTTATTTTGTTTATTCTCATATGGCGAGCACAAGTTCGTACATAAATGTATTAGAACATCTATGCTTCATATTCTATTTCTTCTCAGATAGGACAAAGCTTCTGAAATCAGCAGAGACGATTAAAGACACATTAAAAAGAAGAGAAGCTAATGCACACATTTGGTGCACATCTCTCCCATTGTAGCAAAGCAGGAAGCATGCTTACTCTTCCATTTTCTGATTGTCTCAACTGAACAAATGTCTAGACAAGTACTCTACCACAACTGAACCAGAAAGAAATAGAAAGCCTGAATAGACCAATAACAGGCAATGAGACTGAATCAGTAATAGTCTCCCAACAAATAAAAGGCTAGGTCCCAAAGGCTTCACTTCTGAATTCTACAAAACTTTTGGAGAAGAGCTAATCTCAATTCTACTCAAACTATTACTAAAGATCCAAAAGGAAGGAATCTTCCCAAATTCATATTATGAAGCCTCCATCATCTTGATCCCCGAAATAGACAAGGATATAACAAAAAAAAGAAAACTACAGATCAATATCCCTGATGCATATGAATAAGAAGATTCTCCATAATATCCTAATAAATAATAAACAACAATACATTAAAAAGATTATACATCATGACTAGGTAGGCTTTATTCCAGGCTTGCAAGGGTGGTTCGACATACATAAAACAATAAATTTAATACATTACATTAACAGAAGGAAAGACGGAAATCATATGATCATATCAATTGATGTGTAAAAAGCATTTAATAAAATATAATATCTCATCATGATTATGACTCTCAGCAAAATTGACGTAGAAGGGACATTTCTCAGCACAATAAAAGCCATATATGACACACTCATAGCTAACATTATACTGAATGGGGGAAAGCTAAAATCTTTCCTACTCACTAAAAACTGGAACAAGACAAGGCTGCCTATTTTCTCCACTCATTTTCAACATAGCAGTGGAAGTCGTAGCCAATGCAATCAGACAAGAGAGTAAAATAAAAGGTATTCAAATAGGAAAAGAGAAGTGAAATTATCACTATTTGCAGATGATAGGATTATATACACAGAAAATTGAAAAAAAAAACCACAAAGCTCTCTTGGAAGTGATAAATGAATACAGTAAAGTGGCAGCATACAAAGTCAACATACAAAAATCTATTGCATTCTTATAAACCCAAAATGAACAGACTGAGGTAGAATTGAAGAAAACAATCCCATTCATAATAGTTGAAAAATAAAAAAGAAAACTAGGAATAAACCTAAGCAAAGAAGTGAAAAAGCTCTACAAGGAATACTATGAAAAACTTTTTAGTTTAGAAAATGAAAATGACACTAAAGTGGAAAGATATCCCATGTCTCTCAATTGAAAGAAATAATTTAAATGTCAATTTTACCCAAATTAATTTATAAATTCAAGGCAATTTCAATCAAATTACCAGAGATATTCTTCACAGAAATAGAAAAGGCAATCTTAAATTTTGTCTAGAAAAATAAAGGCCGTATATCACCAAAGCAATATGGTGCAAAAACAATAAATTAGGATGTATTTCACTTCCTTACCTCAAAACATATTTAAAAGCTATGATAATCAAAACAACATGGTACTGGCAGAAAAACAAAAACAAAACAGGCATGTTGACTAATGGAATGGAATAGAGAATACAGAAATAATTCCCAAAACATACAGCCACCTGATTTTTGACAAAGGGCATAAGGCAATCCAGTGGGGAAAAGGTCTCTGCAGCAAACAGTGCTGGAAAAACTGGATATCCACCTGTAGAAAAATGAAACAGGACCACTATCTCTCACCATTATCTAACATCAACTCAAAATGGACTGAAGAGCTAAATGTAAAACCTCAAACTATAAAACCACTGGTGAAAAACACAGGGGAAACTCTTGGAGACCTTGAAGTAGGCAAAGACTTTTAAAATAAGACCCACAAAACACAGGCAGTAATCCTAAAAATAGACAAGTGGGACTACATCTGGCTATAAAGCTTCTGCACCACAAAAGAAACAATAATTACAGTGAAGAGGCAACCCTGAGAATGAGAGAACATATTTGCATACTGTGTCTCAGATAAGGGACTGATAAACAAAATATACAGGGAACTGGAGCAGCTTACCCACAAAAATAAACAATCCAATTAAAAATAGGTAAATGAGCTGAACAGATAACTCTCTAAGGAAGACTTAGGAATAGCCAAAAAGCTGAGAAAATGATCAACATCCCTTATCATAAAGGAAATGCAAATCAAACCCACAAGGAGATACCACTTAACCCCAAACAGAATGGCTAAGATTTAAAAAAACTAAAATAAAAAGGGGCCAGCAGGTGGCGTGGTGGTTAGGGTGCAGGACTCCTACGTGTTCAACCAGTTTGAGTCCTGGACTTCGTGGCTTGCTTTCTCACTTTCTGGTCTCTCTCTCTCTTTCTCTCTCTCTCTCTCTCTCTCTCTCTCTCATTGGTGAGTACACGTGCCCTGTAGCAAACTGAAATAAATAAATACATAAAATACATAATTTTTCTCTTAAAAAGAAAGAAAAAACTACTCCATTTAAAAACAAATTAACAATGACAATTTCTGGCAAGGCAGCAGTGAAAAGGTAACCCTCCTATGCTGTTGGTAGGAATGTAAATTAGTGCAGACACTGTGGAGAACAATACTGAGGTTCCTCAAAAACCTACAGATAGAAACTACCATATGACCCAGTAATTCCACTCCTGGGTATTTATCCAAAAGATAGGAAAACACTCAGTTGGAAAAACACTTGCACATTCATGTTTATTGCAGCATTATTCACAATTGCGAAGATATAGAACCAGCCTAAATGCCCAAGAACAGAAATCTGGATTGAAAAAAATGTAGCATAAATACACAATGGAATACTACTTGGTCATAAAACACACACACACACACATACGCACACACACACAAAGAAAAAAAGAGACATTGATATTTGACAAAGAGTGGAGGAATATGGAAGATTAAATGCTCAGTGAAGCAAGCCAAACTGAACAAGGGATATTTTAAGTCCCTGCTCGATATCCACTGAATGTCTGTGCTCTATGGCAGAAACGGAAAGATGGGAACGCAGGTGTAGGTACCAGTGACAGTATCGGAGGGGGCTGGTAAGGGGTGGTAGGGAGGGGATGGGGTGAAAACATTTAAGACACGTGAATAAAAAGTTACCTGTTGATGATAATGTGTGTGGCGATACCTTTGACCTAATTGATATGCACTGCACCCTTGCTGGGAAAACAAAAACAAAAAAACAAAAACAAAAACATTTTGTATACTATAAAGAGGCACAGTGATTAAATTTAAAACGCTTTTTTTTTTTTTTTTAAAGTAAAACATCTCTGCTACTGACGGTGCTATGTGACCTTGGGCATTTAATTTTCCATGTCAGCACCAGCATCTTCCTCCGGGAAATGTCTCTCCCAGGGAGAATGAACAACTTGGCAAAAAGAAATTCCTCCACTCTAGCGCCAGGCTGAGCTTGGTAACTGTTCTCTCCTCCCTGCTTATTTCTGGCACCTTACCCTCACCCCTTCACCCATTAACATTCGTGATGTTTTGACTGTAGCCACACAGAGATGTGTTGGTGTGGTTAACTGAGGACTGAACATAGTCTGTGCTGAGATGTGTTGGTGTGGTTAACCGAGGAGGGAACACAGTCTGCGCACAGAGATGTGTTGGTGTGGTTAACCGAGGACTGAACATAGTCTGTGCTGAGATGTGTTGGTGTGGTTAACCGAGGAGTGAACACAGTCTGCGCACAGAGATGTGTTGGTGGGGTTAACCGAGGAGGGAACACAGTCTGCGCTCTAGGCACCTCGATCCGTGTTCAGTGTCTGGCTTTGGAACGCGGTTTTCTGTGCATTTGTCATTTACAAATACATACTTCGTACAGTGATAAATGGAAGAAAACTCACCCCGAGTTACTTTCTAAAATAATCTTTGTTGTTTTTCTAATTAAAAAGTGATGGCTTGCTTTAGATTGTGAATTCAGATTTTAAAATACAAGTAGAAAGAAAATAAAAATTACTCGTAATTCCACAGTTCATCGTTAATAGTCGGATGTATATTTTATGGCCTCTGTCTACCTATCCATGTGGCTGTACACACCTACATACATATAGTTCAACATAGATACACACAAAATACTGCATACATATCTATGTACATGTATTATAGCTACATGTAAACATAGGTATACTTTTACAAATATGCAGAGATGTGTACATAAATATATATAATACATAACATGTATGTATACACAAAGGTATGAATCTATAAAATGTATAAGTGTGCATGTGACCCAAGAGATTGCTTCCAACTCTATTATCAATAATGCCATAACCTAGTTATTATAACCCTTCATCTCATTTTATATTGTAACCTTAAAGTGAATTTTAAAAAGCAGACTCCTTGGGTCCTAGAAAGTCCGCTATTTAGTTGCAATATATTAAAACGGCATATCTACCAGTATTCATTTGGATTTCTCAATGGCAATGACTTACCTATGGCTTAATATCTGAGTAAGGGCATTTAAAATGTGTTGCCTTTTAAGCATTTAAATCTGCATAAGCCTCCATCAAGCTGTGCAGAGAAAACTAAAATCTATCTTATTATATTGGGGGTGTCTGCTTGCAAGTACATGAACCCTGAGTGTATCATGGCATGTTAGTTGATAGAACCTAGTGGAACAAACGTTACATGTGTAGATTACTCATGAGATTGAAAATTTCCTCAAATAGCATTTTTTAAAAGGAATTATTTTTAAATTTTCCTCCCTTTCTTCCTTCTTTCCTTCCTAGTTTCTTTTAATTTGACCAGAGAGGGATGGAGCCAGGAAGAGAGAGAAGGAAAATGAGAAAGCAAGCTACCGTGGTTGGCCGTACGGGAGTCCAGAGCTCTCAACCAGCGCGCCGCCTTCCGGCCCCTCAAATAGCACTTTGCCTGGCGCGTGCCCATGTCCCAGCTCAAGCCAGGCACCCAGAGAAGTAAGTGCTCCTTGTGTACTGCAGGCTCCCACCAGCCCTGTCCCCTGGGCCCCACCTGCTGCTCTGAGGGGCCACCACTTCTTGTTTCTATGTCAGACAGACCCTCATTACTGCCCACCCCACCTCAGTCTCCAGGGTCTTGCCTGTAGAGGGAAGGATTTCTCTTAGGTCTTCTTTGTGGACTGCCACCATTTTCTGTCTTCTCTCTTCTCTCAGGGAGGTGAAGGTCCATTTCCTGCCCTTGAGGCAGCACTCGAAATGCCTTCACCCTGGCTTTCCTCACAGAGGTAAGAGCAGCCTCCTTGCTCAGTTAGTGGCTGGTGGACAAAACAATCTGGAGACCCCGAGAAAGGTGTGAGAGAGGACAATGCAAAGGCTGCACAAGCACGTGAAATAAGTACTGTAAACTATTACACAAAAGTCAGAGCGAGTGAGTGAATAAATGATTGGCCCCATCTTTGTATTTCTGTAATCTAATCTTCTTCAGGAGTTCCCACCTCATACACAGCAGGGAGTGTGACGGAACTTGCTCCTTATGGATATACCCCCCTTCTTCCCAGTGAAGCCAGTCTATGTTGTGGGTGTTCCATCTGGTCCATTCTCCCTTCCTTTGCTCTTTTACAAAGCCGTGTCTGAGAGTAGAAGAAAGCAGTAAACACTTTGGTATTGGTAGAGAGGTGCTACCTTGCCTCTGAAAGCTTGAGTTCTCTACAGAAGACTGGCTGCCTTCTGGGCGAGCATCCTTTTAGATCCACCCTGGCCGCATCTCTAGGTTTCCTTCTCTTCAGGGTAGCTGCTGGCTGCTCCAGAGGCTCCAGGAGTCCATTGCTTTGGCTTAGTCACAATCCTCAGCCTCACCTCAGCTCTCTGGTGCTGTTGATGCTCCCGGGAATCTGAGAAAACATGTGACCTTTATTGTATTTTACTTTATTTTATTTTGAGAGGTTTTTGCTATAGGGCGCGTACATTTGCCAGAAAGACAGAGGGAGACAGAGAGACAGAAAGAGAGAAATCACCCCCCAGGGGGGATGGCCACACCACAATCCCTTCTCCCCCATTCTCTTCTCGGGATCTTGGGCATGCACACACACACTCTGGCATGAGTTTAAGCCACTGGGTCCAGGACTTGAACTGCAGTCGACTACATGGGAGTCCAGCAACATAACCATTACGACAACTGCAGGTCCCAACATGTGATCTTTAGATGCATGAAGAAATGTGTTTTTTTTTTTTTTTTTTAGCTATTCTAGCAATGGCTATTGAGAGTATTTACATATGAAAGCGCTATCTGCCTGTCATCATCGGTTATCTTCCTGTTGTTGTTGACACCCAATATTACTAGGCAGTATGAGGGTAAAGGAGCTTCTTGTGTTTATCAGATTTTCCCCAAAACTGATCAGAGACATTACATGGCGCCAGTGGTTTTCACATCTTCAGACAGTTTACATCCAAAAGTAACTGGCTTAGCCTTCCATGACCTCTTCCCCCGTTTTCTGCCCTTTAAAAGAATAAACCTGAGGCAAGTTCTGGTTGCAACTTCTCCATCAGAGAAGCTGGGCCCACTCGATCCTTGCTTTTCTATATTTCTGTCTTTGTGTGTTTGTTATTGCGTGTATTTCTAACCCACAGCTTTCTACACTCAGAAAAGTGTGTTCAGCCGAGCAGGTCCGGACACCCAGGGACCACAGTATGATGGGACCGCTCTGGTCTTGGCACTGCTCTGGTGCCCTCAGTTGGACAGGACGCCGCTGCTCTCACGGCTCTCCACCCTGCCAAGTTTCCCAAGCAGCCCATCCACTGTCATCTTCATCCCCTGACCAGTCGCCCTTATGCATGCTCGTCAGGCCCCTGGCACTCAGGAGCTCTGTGCTGTGCAGTGAATGTGGGCGCTGCCCATCAGTTCCACCTCTCCCTGCTGGAGAGCAGCCACAGCACGCAGAGAATGTCTCTCGGGCTATAAAAGACGGACACATCACAGTTCTGTTGATTTATCTTTTTTTTTCTTTCCCTCTGGAAGGAGAGTCATGAGACTTTTCCTCTGCTCACTCTTCCTCCTCCTTCCCACAAATCACCAGGCTGGAAGGACCAGCTTTCCTTTTCCTCTTACTCTCTAGCAGTGACTTGTGGCTTGTTACAGAGGGATGTTTCCGAGTCTCTAAACCTGACAGCTTAGCTTCAATTGCAGATAGGCTGAAGGAAGGGAAATAAGTTTACATAGAATACACTTTTCAGTCAGTTCGTCGGTGAATAAGTTTACATACATGGGTTAGAATTTTAGAAATACTGTTTTTAACTACTTATTTTATAGATAGGATTTTATTTGTATAATAAGAGGAGAGATTGATTTATAAGATGCCTTAGGGAGTATCCTCTTGAAATCAGTGCAGGAAGAATGTCCTGGATTTTATACCAAAATAATAAGAGTTAACACTTTAATGGGATTGCTGTGTGCCATGGTTTCTTAGCATGTTACATTTAACTTTTTGAAGTTTATTTATTTTATCATGCACTCATAGCACAGGAGAGAGGAAAGGAAGAGAAGGCCCTTGCCAGGGTCTTATCACATCACAGTGCTCCTTCCACAGCCCTCCAGCTCCTGATCTTGGCACACATGCATGCACCCAGCGTGCTTCAGGCTGACCTGGGGATCTGAGCCCACGGCTGGCCATGTGGCTTCCAGCACTGCAGCTCCGTTTGCTACTGACCCCACCACCATACATGACATATATTAATTCATGCTTCAGAATAACCCCACGAGGTTGGCAATTGTATTTTCACTATTTTAGAGAGAAGAAAGGAAAAGCATGGTGAACCTAATTGTTCGAAGTCTAATAATTAATTCATAAAAGAGCTGGATTTTAACCCAGACAACAACCTCCTTGCTTAAAATCCTCAAAGGGGCAAGCCAAGTTTATCAAGAGAGAACTAATAGAAAAAAAAAAGAAAAAAGAAAGAACTAATGGTAACGAATAGCTCATATGAAAATTTAAATTAAATTAAGGTAAAATAAAACACTGCTGATTTCCATTGACCACAAGATCTGTGTGAGTGAACAGTAGGATGTGGCAGTTCACAGAATCATGACGATTTGTGGACAGCAGTAACCAGAGGACAGAGTAGAATGTACAAGAGGGGGCAGCTACGCCATGGTCCGCACTGGCCGGAGAGCTGCAGCAGTAGTCCTGGGAGTTGTTCTGGGGACCACACACCATGAAAGATACTGGCGAATCAATGAATCAAGATCCACTCCACTGAGAACAACGCGGGTGATCAGAGTAATATAAACCAGCTCCAAATGACTTCTTGGACTTGCGAGGTGTTTTAACTGAAAAAGAGAAATTCAGGGAAAATGACAGTGATCCTGAAGCCCCTGTAAGCAGTGGAAAAAAATGTATAGAAAGACAGAGAGAGAGAGAAAGAGAGAGACTTGCTTTTACCCTGGAACTGCAGTCCTTCCACACCTCACCCAGGGGAATATACTTTTCAGTCAGTTCGTAGGTGACTCCCAAGGGATGTGCCACCGAAAACAATTAAAGACCACAGTCTGGGATTAAGCCTCACTTGTTATAAACTCGAGAAGACTGGAGGTTATCCCTGTAACATCACTTTCATTCATTCCTTCATGAGAGAGACAGAGGTGAGTTTATATCCAGTGTAAGAGGAATTACACGTAAATTCAGTTATCCTCGAGAGAGTAGGCCTCATGTGAGCCACTTTAGAAGGCAGAACTGGTGTCTGGGACTGACGTGGAGCCTGACTTCAATTCAGTATAATAACAGGCTCTAAACACAGAAGGTTGAGCGTACCCTGGAAATCGGTAATGATCTACACACTGTCAGATGCATCCGATGCTCGGTATGCAGCTGGCTTCCATGGTCTCTAACTTTCCTTTCAATAAGATGACACATTTCTACTCAAAGCAAAAAATGAGCCTTTCTACTTCCCTCATGCATCTCCTGCCTCCAGTGCAGGATTCGCCCCCTCCATCGATACATTTGCTGTACACAGCCCAGCCTCTCCCGAAGTGTGGTCACATATGCGACACAGGATTTAGCAGGCATGTGATGAATTTTGTTGTGGTACACAGACCTCAAATCAAAAAGGAAAAAAAAAATCCCCTACAGTATCTAAATGATCTCTCACATCTTCTGATCCAGTAAAGGAAAAAAATCTTGGCTTAGTTTTATCCACCTGTAACGCATCTTGAAATCTTCTTCACCTTCCCATGCTCAAATTCTTTTCAGGCCACTACGTCTACAATATGGGTGGCCTTTCTGCTGTCTTTTATACGAATACTTTCTTTGTAACTGACTTCCATTTGTACTAGTAGAAACCTTACCTTTAGGGAACCAGCAGTTAGCGTAATGGCTATGTCGCTGGATTCCCATGTAGTCGACCGCGGTTCGTGTCCTAGACCCGGTGGCTTAAACTCACGCTGGGTGCGTGTGCGTGCATGCCCAAGATCCCGAGAGGAGAATGGAGGAGAAGGGATTGCGGCGTGGCCATCCCCCCTGGGGGGTGATTTCTCGCTTTCTATCTTTCTGTCTCTCTCTCTCTGTCTGACGAGCGCACACACCCTATAGCAAAAACCTCTCCAAAAAGAAAAAGAAGAAACCTTCCCTTTAGATGCAAAATTATTTAAACCACACAAGTAAAATAACATAAAACAATATTAAATAATAGCACAGTTGGCATAGGACATGACCAGATGTGAAAGGGTGGGTTTATGATGACTGGACGTGGGGAACTCTAGAGGGTCATTTTAAAATTCCCACCTATACCCTAAACGATCTAACACTGAGATGGGAGATGAGTTTACTCTTGTTCTTCACTTTTCCATCTATCCTCCTAATTAGATGACCTTTTCTTCCTCCTTCACACAGAGTTTCTTATGCGCTTTTAAAATAGCCTATAAGCGTCCCTATTAGAGAACATGGCCTGGTGTATTAAATTGCTTGTTTGAGTAAATAAAATTACTCACAAATAGAAGCATGACTTGCATACTCCTACCTAAGCACCTCCGTCCTTTCCCTCTTAACTTATGCTATGTTCTGCCACATATTTCACCCTTAGATAACGTCAAACGACAAGACCTCTATTACAATATTTTGTTTGACATTATACACCGGCATGGTTTATCTATCACCCAATCAACCTGTAGGTTTACTATGTCAGCTTTGTTTGTCTTTATGCTTAAGTTTTTGGGGGCCAACATGGAGACTATATCAAATTTTCCTTGTCACAGCAACATGTTCTAAGAGGCCCAGAAGCAGTATGGAAGCCGGGAAATGCTGTTTCTCCATAGTTGAGGCCATGTGGGAAGCTTGGATTCCACTCCCCGTCTTCTCTAAAATGCCAGGCATGGTGGTACATGTTGGGGCCCAGCTACTCAGGAGGCTGAGGCAGGAAGACAGCAATATGAAACCCTGTCTGAACAATAAAATAGAAGAGTTTGAACAGTCTGAGCATATCTATAGCCTCCCCGTGCTTTGATATGTGTGCGTTTATCCATTGGAAAAATGGCCAATTATGGTGAAACTCAACTAGTTATACTCTGAGAAGTAAATGGCTATACTATCAGCCCGTTTTAAATTTCCAGGACAACCCTGCACTTGAGAAAATCCATTTATAGGTAAGTCATTTGAAATGTCATGTACTGCAGGATAAAAGAAAAATAGTATTCTAAGTTTTGGGGGCACGCTCATTAACTTTTCAAGTCTTAACCGCAATTAAGTACTTAGCTTAGGCTTGATTTATGGGATGCAGCTTTTCTTATCTTAAGGAAGACCAGCATTTTTAATATCTCCGCCATGTCTGTCATTTCTCCTGCCATGTTTTGGAACGGAAGGCCCACATTTATTAAGACTGTTTCTTCTCGAGTTGATCTTTTTAAAATGATATATTTAGGTACGTCTTCTTTCAGAAGAGTGCCCTACCTCTCCAAATAACAGGGAGTCTTACTCTCACCCAGGAAGTTGTGTGAGAGGGTTAAAACCTCACTGCTTACACAGCACCGTGGACCCAAGTCTTAATGCCTTTAAGGAGAGAAACCATCGCAAGTATAGTGGCTCGCATGCCAGCGTACTTCCCCAAAGGACCCATCTGTCCATATTTCTTAATCCAGATGAGGCAACTCATCTTTTAATAAATGTTTCCTTTGATTTTAAGGCTTTCTTTTCTTTTTTAAAAAAATTTTATTTATTTTTTGTGGGGACACATTTAAGAGAGAGAATCTGAAGTGTGGGGACATGCTCTGAGCTAACACCACCTGCTCTTTTGGGGTTTGCCAGAACCTTGTAACTTGTCTTTCCCTGACCTTGGCTGCAGACAGAGTAATGGTGGAAATGACTAGGGGCGTTCCAACAGACATATCTGATGGGCTTCAAGAAACATCTTGACCCCAATTAGTAAAGCCCAATACCTGCTCTGCATCTGAAAGGTTCTTTAGCCTTCTCTGGGTGGGGTGGTACACTCCTTATAGAGAAGTTCTTTAGATCCTTCCTCACATCTAACAGCTAGTTCTCTGCATTAGAAAAGAAGATGAGATTTTCTCTTGATGGGATTATCGCCAAGGGATACACCTGGCCTGGTATGACTAAACCCTCATAGATTTGTTAATTGCTTCTTATTGTCTGTAACCTGGTAACCAATCTATGAAGTGTCATGAAACATACATGTGCAATGTCTCCTTGTACTATAAATAAAGACGTCCAGTCTGTCTGGGCGGCACAAGTTGCTTGGGCTACCTAGGCTCAGGCTGCCTGTGTCCATTTCTACTCTATCTCTTTGTCCCAGTCTTTCCAGTTCCCTGGTCCTGGCAAGATGGAGGGCTTTCTTTTTCTCATTCTCTTTCTCTTTCTCACCAGCAACCCTCTGATCATGATTCAGCCAGACCCAAGCCCTGAGGCAGACGCCGACAATTTTTAAGTTTGTTTCATTTTTTTCACGAGAGGGAAGGCATGAGAGACAGCCTCCTTGCCCAAGCCCTGCAGCCAGCTAGGATCATGGGTACGTCTAGGTCAGCCCAGGATCTTACTCCCAATCCGCTATGTGGCTCCAGCACTGCAGAGTAGAATCTATCTGTGCTGTCACAGCTGGGCCTTAACCTTTTTCTCTTTTCTTTCATCCCCCTGCATGTTTTATTTCTCCGTATGTGTTGTAAGAGGAGAATGAGAGTATATTTCTCAGGGGAAACAATTCAAGTGGAAGGACAGGAGAGCAACATCTTTAAAGTACTGAGGAAAAAAAAAAAAACACAGAACTGTCAACTTGAAATTTTATATCCAGTAAAAATGTCTTTGAAAAACAAAGGCCAGATTTCTGGTTTCAGTGCAAACACAGAGAGAACTTGGAAGCCATCACTCTCCTCCTTCCAACAAGAAAAAAGCTGAACAAACTGAAAATCAACAGCTTTTCTTAGAGCTGTCAGAGGATTGAGGTGACAGAGCAGAACGCTGTCCCCAAAACTAGAGAGACAGGAAAATACAGAGAATCACAGCCGACGTCCCTACCCTGGAATAGAAGCCACAGGAGCCATCAGGTGGTAGGGATACTTCAGAGGTCATTTCGAAGAGCCACTGAAGAAGACTGAAAGTAGCCAACGGAGAGACTGCTCAGACCCACAGTCTTAGATCACTGCTCCCAGTGCACATCTTCATAAACTTTTTCTTCAGAAACTCCATCAGATTCTCAAGTGGAGGATGCAAGGAAAGTTCTCTCAGATGTCAAACTCCGGGAGAAGAAGAGTAAGCATTTGAAACATGCCAGAGCATTCCTTCTAACAAAAGCTCGCTCTCCCAGGGAACCTACTTTACCAGAGCCCTACCTACTGGGAAGAAGAACAATTAGCCAACTCATCCTCCCTGAGATTTTCTGACTAACCCTAGGAGAGGATGAGCAAAATAAAAAATGCTAAGAAATACGACTGTTCACAGCACAGGCTTCCAGTCCAACAGAGAGACCAAGAGTAAATGGTAAGATTACGGAGTGCTTCCTTTCCCCCAGTCCTCACCACCGCATCAGCAGGACTCCAGTGTAGTAACAGTGGGCTCAGACAGAAATGGCCAAATGACAAAGACTCCATTTAAGAATGTGTTCTAAGGGAAACCTAGAGACCACAGGGAAGGAGGGGAAAGCAGTGATTGGAAACACAAAAGGAAAGTGAAGGCTCTGGCACACAAATGTGCACAGCCATTAAAGTAGCCTAGCTCTTAGCTAGGGTAACGAAGTCTCACACTAAACATCTGTTGACCTCATGATGTATTATTACCTAATACATCATGTCTAGGTTTCAACAAAAAGTACAAGATATACTAAAGTCAAGCGTAATAATAATTTGAGAGGACAAATATCAAAATGAGACTTCTCTATAGGCACAAATTTTGGAATGATCAAATAGAAAATTTAAAATAACCTTGATGAATATCTCGACTCCTCTAGTTAAAAGTATGCGATATTCAAGAACGGAGTGTAAGCAGAGAGCTGGAAACTCAAAACATCAAAAGAAAATAATAGAAATCAAAAGCACTGTGATGGAATTGAAGACTATACTGGATTGACTCATTAGGGGACTAGACAAAGCCAAGGAATGAAGCCGTGAGCATGAACCTATGTGAACAGAATCTTCCTAACTGAATGCAGTGCACAGGAGAAATGAGGAACAAAACAAAACACCAAATGACTGTGGGCAATTACAAAATTGTTACATATACATAGATGGGACAAGAAGGGATACAAGAGAGAAAGGAGCAGATTATTTGAAATACGAATGCCAGAGAGCTTTCCAAAATCAATGGCAGATACCAAACCATAACACATCTAGGAAGCTTAGACAACACTAGTTACATAAACAAAGAAAAAAGCAAAATCTCTACATCTACGCAAATCTTATCCAAACCATATAAAACCAAAGACAAAGACAAAAATCACAAAAGAAGTCAGAGGGGGAGAAAATGCCTTACCTTCCTATAGAGGAACACAGAAGGAGAAGAATTGCAGGAGCCTTCTCATCAGAAACTGTTCAAACAGGAAGACTGAAGTAAAGTATTTCAAGTGCAGAAATAAAAAAAAACCCATCAACTGAGAACCTAGATTTGTTTTTTTTTTTTTAATTTCTGGGACATATGCAATCACCAGAGAGAGACAGAGACCCACCAATGGGGGGTTGTTCTGTTCCTTTCTCCTCCATGACTCCATCCCCGTAGGATTTAAGGCATGCACACACACGTCCCTGGTGGGCTTAACAAGGCTACCAGGGCCAAGATTTGAGCCTTACTCTGCCATGTGGGATCTGGCTCCTAATACACTGGGTTTAATCACTACCCCGCTCAGCCATCACCCAATCTAAAATTCTATAACCAATGAAATTATTCTTGAGCAGTAAGGAAGGCAATAAGGACTTTTTCAGAAGAACAAAATATGAAGCCATTCGTTATCAGAACTACTCTGCAAAAATGTCAAACGTTATTTAGAGAGAAAGAGACTAGTACAGATGGGAATCGGTGAGAGAATTTCGAAAAGTTCATGAAAGAATGGAATTAAAATAAAAAAATGTGTTTTGCTGGGAAAAAAAATGAAATCCATGCAGTTGTTTGTTTGTTTAGTTTTGTTTTGCTATTTTTATTTTTATTTATTTGCATAAAGTGCAGATACTCATAGGGGAGAGACAAAGAGAGACAAAATGGAAATCACTCCCAAGGGGGAATGACTATGCTGCAATGCCTTCTCCATTCTCCTCCTGGGATTTTGGGGATACATGTACGTTTATCAGGCATGATTTTCAATCCTCCAAATCCAGGACTCCAACTGCAGTTGGTAATATGGGAGTCCAGTGCTTTAACCACTACACCACCTGCTGGCCCCCATGCATGTTTTTTTGTTTTAATAATCCACATTTTTCCATAAACTATTTGAAGACCCCTTGCATACGAAGAAAGTAAGATCAGTGGCAAGAGAATAAATATAGGTAAAATAAAATATCTACTTTTCTTATTTTAAATTGATCTAGTAGATAATTGCTTGCCCCAAGTAGTAAGAGTAACATATCAGAGGATATAACACATGGATAGGTGAAATAAACTGCAACCATGTTAAAGGAGACAGAGGGAGAAATTGGACACACACTGTTATAAGGTAATTGCATTACCATGAGATAGCACAGTATTATCTGAAAGTAGGTACCTATTAGTTGCAAATGCATATTGCAAACTCTACTGCAGTCACTAAAAAACTTTGAAAAGAAGTACATTTAATATGCTAAGAGAAAAGGAAAAACTAGAATCTGATTCTGTTAAAACCAAAGGAGTCAGAAAAAGAATAGGAATTTTTAAAAAAGAAATAATAGGGTAAGTGCAATAAACACAGAACAATTACAAACATGATAGATATGAATCAAAATATGTTAATAAGCACTTTATATATGAGTGGTATAAAAAATTAGAAGACAGATCATCAGACTCAATTTTTTTTTTTTTTTTTAAAAAGGAACCAAAACTAGTTGATAACTTACTGGGGGAATTTCTCGCTTTCTGTCTCTCTGTTGCTCTCCTCTGCAGCCAGTGGATGCACCTTACAGCACAAAATCTTTTTCTAAAAAAAAAAAAAAAAAAAAGGATAAAAAAAAGACATTAATTTGTTAACAGCAAGAAAATGGGCAAATATGCCACATAACTCTATTCAACAGAAAATTGTAGGGCCGGGAGGTAGCATGAAGGTTAAGGTGGCAGTTCCAATCCCAGAGCTGTTGGCTTGAAAATCCCGAGAGGGGAAGGAAGGAGAAAGGATTGCAGACTGGCTATCCCCCTCGGGGTGATTTCCCATCTTCCCTTTCTCTCTCTCTCTCTCTCTGCCTTCCCTGTCTGTCTCCAGTGAGTGCACGTGCCCTATAGCAAACTAAAAAAAAGAACAAAAACTAAATTATTTTTGAAAAGAAAATTGGAGTGGCTATGTTAATATTAGACAAACTAGCTTTGAGAAAAACAAATATTATATTATGTAAAAATCATGAGTAAGTTTATCAAAAAATGTAATTATTAAATATGTGTATATACCTAATAAAATATATTAAGACAAATAAATGAAAATCCTGGAAATATATTTAAATCCACAGTTAATGTAAGAGAGTTAAACACTGAAGAGACTTTTATTAAAAATAATTTGTATAATGCAATCTAAAATCATTATAAAATTTAACAAAATATGTATAAAACCTGTACGTTGCAAACTATAAATATGGCTGAGAACAATGAAAGACCTAAATAGAAGAATAATAAACGTGCAATACATGAGTCAGAAAAACCAAATATAATGGTGGCAGTTCTAGCAAAATTATACATAGATTCATGAAATTTCATCACTTTTGTTTTGGTTTTCTTTAATTTTTAGAAATTGAGATGGTTGCACAATTTAGGAAGAAATAAAAAGAGAAGAGAAGGAGAATTCTCACTACGTGATTTCAAGATTTGAAGATAAAGGTACGGTAAGAAATAAACCTGTCTTTACTCACAAATAACTAATTGTCTACACAAAATCACAAAGAGTAAATACACATAAAAATAAGCTCAACATCACTACTGATTGTGGAGATAAAAATTTTAAATATAAGTGTACTTCAAAAAGTTTTGGAAAAAACAAAATTAAAGGAGTTTATTTTGGTGCAAAACAAAAAAAAATCTTTTACACTGTTGGTGGAAATGTAAATTTATCCAGTCACTGTGGAGAACAACATGGAGGTTCCTCAAAGACCTACAGATAGAACTACCACATGATCTAGCAATTCCACTCCTGGCTATATACCCTAAGGAGAGGAGAAGGCTCATTCGGAAAAAGGCTTACACATCTGTTTATTGTGGCATTATTCATGATTGATAAGACATGGAACCAACCCAAATGTCCACGAACAGATGAATGGATTGAAAAAGTGTGGTACATACTCCATGAAATACTATTCAGCCATAAAAAAACAAGACCCTGGCATTCGATAGAAAGTGGATGAATTTGGAAGATTTGCTGCTGGATGAAGCAAGTTCGGCTAAAAAGAGAGGCATTGTATGTCTCCACTTAACATATACCCACTGTCCACGCTCCATGGTAGAGACTGAAAGACTGGAGGATGTAAAAGCATTGAAAATAGTTCTGTACACTGAGGACAATGTGGAAAGAGAGTGTATGGAAGAAAATTTGGGAGAAAAAATCGATATAAGATATTTGTGGGACACAGAAATTGTTTATTACCTGTTGATAATGACATGTTTAGCATTTTCAACTGGATGGATCTGAGATGCATTTCATACTTGGTAAATTCTTTTTACAATCTAAATGATGCATAGCAATGAATGTATAAACAAAAATAGTAATTATAAAAATTAATAAATAAAAAAATTATATCACAAAAAAGACCCTTTTAGGCATGTACTCTCTGGGGATCAGTAGATGGCATAATGTTTACGTGGCTGGACCTACGTAGTTGACTGTGGTTCGAGTTTTGGACCTGGAGGCATGAAACTCACACTGGGCATGTGTGCATGTGTGCCCAAGATCCTGAGAGGAGAATGGAGAAGGGATTGCAGTGTGGCCATCTCCTCTTGGGGGTGATTTCTCACTTTCTGTCTCCCTGTCTCTCCAGTGAGTGCACATGCCCGATAGCAAAAAGCTCTCTAGAAATATAAAAAGGAGTGTGCTCTCTGTTTCTCTTGCTCATGGATGAAATAAATAAACTTAAAAAAAAATCTATATATAGCCTTTTATAATATACATTTTCAATGAAAGTTTTGAAGATCTCTTTTATAATAAGATATCACTACCAAATACTAAAATAGCTACAATTAAAAAGACTGAAAATATGAAATGTTGGGAATGAGATGGAAGATTTAAATCGCTCATACATTGCTTGTGAAATGTAAACTTTATACTACTCTAGAAAATAGTTTGAAAAAATTTTTAATGTTCTGTATACACCGATAATACAATCTAGAGATTCTACTCTCATGTTTAGCAAAGAGAACTAAGAACACAAAGACAGGTACACAAATATTTATAATAGTATTCTTCATAATAACTAAACACCAGAAATAACACAAATACTTATCAGTTTATGAGTAAACAGACAATTTGTGATACACCCTATAGTGGAATAATATTCAGCAATGAAAAGGAATAGACAAGTGATAGCTGCAATAACATGATATATATATATATATATATATGAAACAAACATTGAAAAATTATTTAATGATAACGTGAATGATTAAGCCACTATACAGCATATTCTAATGGGAAATTGCATTTTGTATGCTGTGATGATGTTCAGTGAACAAATGCAAAATAAATTTTAAAAAGAGAGAGATATTTTTGCTATAGGGCGCATGCACCCACCAAAGACAGAGGAAGACAGAGAGACAGAAAGTGAGAAATCACAATCTGGGGGGATGGCCATGCTGCAATCCTTTCTCCTCCATTCTCCTCTCGGGATCTTGGGCACGCACGTACACGTGCCTGGACTGAGTTCTAAACCACAGGGTCTGGGACTCAAACAGTGGTTGACTATGTGAGAGTCCAACAACATAACCATTACACCATCTGCTGGTCCCAACATGAACGAATTTAAAAGTATTATGCCCTACAAAGTAGCTACTTAGTATATGACATGAAATTCTGGTAAAGATGAACGTATAGGAACAGATTAAAAAAAATAGTCACCCAGGCCTGGGAGCCAAGAGAGAGGAGTGACAGACAAGAGAAAACATGAGGAAGTGAAGAAAATGATGATTCTATAGCTACATCTGTCCAATCAAACTGCACACTAAGAGGGTGAATTTTATTGTTTATGAAACACACATCACTAAACCTAACTTAACATGATCACTGGAAAAATAATAATAGTGATCACTCTTTTATTTCTGACTCCAGGGAAAATGATTCTAATATTTTACAATTAAACATAATGTCACTTGTCAATTTGAAATAAATACCCTTCATTACCTTGAGGATTTATTCTTTATCTCTTATTTCTAATAGACCACTGTCTTTTTTTAATCAATAATTGATGTTGAATAATTTTAAAGTATTTATTCAATGTCTATCAAGAGAAAATTTTCTTTCTTCCCTTTTGATCGATCGTTGTGATAAATTATTACTTGATTTTTTAATACTGAATTGTTAGTACATTCCTAGAATAAAAGCCTATCTGGTCAAAGTGTGTTATCACTTAATGAACAGCTACATTTGACTTGTTAATATTTTGCAGCTATAGTTCTAAAGATGTTCAGCTTCTTTTAAATGTTCCATTTTTCTCATGGTTTAGTATAGAACTCTACTTGATACATAATTGAAATTGGGAAGCTTTTCATCAATTTCTATAATTAGAAACAGCTAAAATTAGTTTCAAAAAGTCAACATAAATTATCTGGTGAGAGTGACCTTTTGGTAATTATTTCCTTAATAATACTTTTTATTTCTTTGCTGTTTCTGAGATTATTTTTAAGTGTCAGCATAAAGCATTAAGGTTTACAATAAATTCTTATCTGGAAAGTTATCCATTTCATTGACAGTCTAAAAACTATGTAAACTTTTTTTTATGAAACAGAAAGAGGGGGAGGTAGAAGAAAGATAGAGGGGGAAGAAAAGGGGAAGAAGACAGAGAGACAGGTCTCACCATCTTCCTGATCCAACCTCCCACTTAGCTAGGACTGTGAATAGTGAGAGAGGGCCTGGTCCTTCTTAGGTTGAGCCTGGAACTAAACCTCGGTCTCCCATGAGGCCATGTCAACACACAGCAGCATCCTTCCACTTCTGCTCCTTCCGCTGGGCTGAAAAACATAAAGAATTTTTAAAAATCCTTTTCTAAATATCTTCCATATTTGAAGTTTTTTACTTCCTGATCTAGCATAAGTGCATTATGCCTTCTTGTCTTCTTTATCTTAGCCAAATTTTTGTGATGTCAAGAGCTTATAATATCTCACACAGTTTTGAATGGCTTGGAAAGTTCTCAGCATGAGCCTGTCTTAGCACAACCTCAGAGCTACTGAGTCAACATTTCTGACACGGGAAGGTAAAATAAAGGTTACAATTGCTTTATTCTTCCATCTTAATTTTTCCATCTTAATTTTCTTTTGTTGAGTATGCTTTTTTTCCTGTCTGTGACTTGCTATGAACTTACTTTTTAATGCTGATTTGAATTCTAGCAATTCTGTGTGTGTATTCTACATTTTCCTCTGAGTTAACATTGAAATATTTAAAAAATTAATTAGCCTTATCTTTTACACAATTACTGCCATTAAAATGCACATATATCATTTGAAATTCTTCTGCTTGGTAGACTTGCATCTTCTCCTCCATTGATTATTCAATAATCCATACCTCTATGGACCCATCAATAGTGATTCTGTTGTTTAATATTGTTTTATTTATTTTGTTTCCTCCCATTGTGTCAGCTTGACCCATTGAGAACTCTTTCAATGTCTCAATGTATCTTCTGACATGGCTTCATCACAACAGGCACTTTGTTTTGGAGTTTCTGTTTGTTTGTCTTTACCTCTGGCCCTGCAAAATGTTCCAGCCCCAATCCTAGAGTAGGCCATTTCTTCCAGAAGCCCTGGCTCTTCTCACCAAGCAGTGGTACTGACGAACCAAGGTCTAGGCTCTAGATGTGCTCATGACACTAGGGTGTTCTTCCTTCTGTGGTGTCTCAGCTGACCGCAATGAAACATGCACACTTGCCTGCACAGATGCATGTATCTACTAATAGTCCCACATATAACCCTGTACATGTACATACATAAAGTTAAACTTGAGTTTATACTTACATCTCCAATTCTAACCCACTAAAACAGGGAGTATCCTAGTCTGCTCCCCTTGCTTATCTGTAGAATTATTTCTCACCTGGCTCGGACTTTCTTCCATCCATTCAGTTGATTGTTCAATTTCTGTATAAAAAATAACAGTATGAGGACTTTGTCTTAATAGTTTTGCATGAAATGACATTATCAACTACATTACCGTGCTTACACATCCTGTTTTGGCCTTCAAGTTCACAGTCCACTCATTTCCAAAGCTACTGTAGCACACAGCCCTTGTTCCCTTTGTAGAGGTTCTTTCCTACATTTGTAAATTAGATTGTCTTGTCACATTTGCATCCTGTCCTGGGATCAACTTCCTAAATTATAATTTTATATAAAACCCACACTTCCTTACCATCTTGGTGTCAAGTAAGTATTGCATATAAGATCTTTTTTGGTAATGTTCTCATCTAATGCTGATGGAAGAGCCCAGGTTTGCAGACAATTAAGAAAGTTATTGGAAGTGAAAACATGAAAGTGATTAGAGTAAATTACTGTGTTGTAAAGGAAGATAAGGCCAAACTAAAGGAAGTTGAGGGGCCAGCGGGTAGTGTGGTGGTGAAGGCATTGGACTTTCACAGGCTCACTGTGGTTCAAGTCCCACACCTGGCAGCTTGAAAATCACGCCAGGTGAGTTTGCATGCATGCCAAAATGCCAAGAGAAGAGTGGAGAAGGAGCCCTTCTGAGGATGTCTCACTTTCCCTCTCTCTGAGTCTCTGTGTCTCTCCAGTGAGTGCACATGCTCTATGGCAAACCCCAAAAATAAAAATTGAGGAAGTTGTGGAAGAGGAAACCAAAATTAAAATTAGAATTTTCTGGACAGCTTTAATACCCTAGAAGAATTAGTAGAGAAGAGGTTGAAGGTATAGGAGAAAACAGAGCCCTAAAATGGCAGGAGGAATCCAGATAGAAACTGGGAGGATGAATTTGCCCTCAGAAAGGAATTGCTTTTTACTTCAAGTGAAGAGAACAGTGAAGCTGCGTGTGGTCATATGTGTTGCTTTACTGTTTTATAGGCAGAAAATAAGAAGCCTGAGTAATTGTTGCCTGATAGTAATTCACCTTGCTGTTTTACCCTGTGACATAGGAGATGAGAGATAGGTGGGTGAGCAGGTAGCCTAGAAAAGAGCAGTAACTGTAGCATGTCGTTGATGGAATTAGAAAAGGAAATATCAAGGATGTTCTGGTCTTCTGTTCTGAAGGTCTACTGAAAGTTGGAGAATGGGAATGGAAATGGTATACACTTGCTGAGTAGATTTGAAAATGAAACTAGATGGGGAGTAGTTGATGACATAATGGTTACATCACTGGACTCCCATGTAGTTGACCACGGTTGGAGTCCCAGGCCCGGAGGCTTAAAACTCATACCAGGCGCATCCTTGTGTGCCCAAAAATCCCAAGAGGAGAATGGTGAGAAGGGATTATGGCATGGCCATCCCCCTAAGGGGGTGACTTCTCACTTTCTGTCTCTGTGTCTCTCTCTGTCTCTCAAGTGAGCACATGCACTCTACAGTAAAAATCTCTCTTAAAAATAAAAAAAAAAGAAAGAAAAGAAAACTAGATGGAAGAGCTATTCAGCAAAAGAGTGAAATAAGAGATACACCAAAGAATCCTAAGGGGCAGGTAGTAAACAGAATGAGGAAAAGCAGTAGTTCATAACTATTAGGGCTTATAGATCAAAGAAGAATTGAAACCTAATAGTTGTCAAATTGGTGTTTTGTAAATAAATAGGCTGCTGGTTCTCTTTTTTCGTTATTTCTTTCTTTCTTTTTTTTTTTTTAATTGCCCAGATAAGGTTGTTAAAGTTGTTATAAAATCTTGGTTATTCAGAATAAATATTAGTAGGCTAAATTCTTTCAGTTAAGAAGCATTTCATCTTTTATTAACCTTACTCTCCTAAATTTATTTCACCATATACTCCTTTATCTTCATTTGTATAGCTCTTTTAAAGATACTAAAACCTGGTTTACATATTGCATGTAATAAGAATATATTACATGTTGCATGTAATGTAATAACATAACTTGGTAAATGATAGTTTAAAGCAGTAGAGAAATGAGAAAACTGGCCTGAGCAGAAAGGGGTCAAAGAACAAGAATTTAAATTTAAATTTCCAGAGACCACCTGTCCACACAGGGTGGCGTCAGCTGGAGGACGAGTATGATGAGTGGATTGCACCTGAAAGACACCTTAGTGGAAAAGGACAAGAATGAATGGGCTGATGGTGGGTAGCTCACTTGCAGAGACGCAGAAGTAGCCTATGGTGATGCCAGAATCTGACGTGAGAATAACGACCACCTGGCTACACAGTGGTCAGATGCTGGGATTAAAGTTGGGAGGTGAGAACATCGCGTCTGATACAAGATGCGTAGTTGGTCATTTGAAATTCGCAAGAAGCAAAAAGTTAACAAATGCAATGATTTGGTAGCGGCTTTAGGAAACATCAAAAAATTACTCTTTGGAAGCATGGCAAGAGGGTATCTCCAGAGATCATAGGAGTACAAATGGTCTTTTTTTGGGCTATGAATAGGGTAAGAGTTAACACCAGTGGGAAGATCCGAATTTTGTTTTGTTGATGTTGTTTTTTAAGTGGATTATGCTGTTATGGACTGAGCCATGTTTCCCCATATTTCTATACTGAAGTGCTAACCTCCAATATTTTAGAATGTGACCTTACATGGAGATTGAGTCTTTACAGAGATAATCATCTTAATGTGAGTAGATCCAAGACCAGTATGGGTGGTGTTCTTTTGAAAAGAAGCGATTTGGACACAAAGACCCATGAAGGGAAAGACTATGCAAAGAGATGCAGGGAGAAGAGGGCCATCTCTTGGCTCAGGAAAGGCCTGGAGCACAGAGTCTTTGATGGCCCTGAGAAATAAACAACTACCAACACGTTTTGAATTTCTGGTTTCCAGGACTAAGAGACAAAAGTCCCATTGTTTAAGCCCTTCAATTTGGGGTGCGTTTGAACAGCAAGTCTACGAAACTGATACTCACGCACTCAGCCAAGTCTGAGGATGAATGGAAAATGACTGGTTCTTGCTTTTAATTTAATTTAATTCTATTTTATATTTTCTCATGGAATACGCTTTCCTAAGAACATAGTAACACAGTTTAGGAGAGAGAGGATATAGGAGCTGATTTTTTTTTTCCCCTCTTCTAAAAACTGACATCACACCTTGGAGACCCAAGTACTAGACGGGTTGGTACTTGTTACTTTATTATTATTACGAGGAAAGAACTTAGCCCAGAATGCTCCTCGTCTTTATTCAATGTGCTCTCAAATGTCATGACATCTTTGAGGGTCACAGATGACCTAAATGCATGCACTAATACAACGGACACTCACATTTTAATATCCCTCGGTGCAAAGTAATCTTTGGCAAGGGAGCTGGCCTGGTGCTTTTCTGAGGAAGGGTGGGAAGTGCCGCTCCTTGATGGGATCATTCTGTGCACATCTTTTTTCTTACTGAATTTACTTGCTCAGTATCTAAGGCACTTACTATATCAAGATTCATGCTTGGTGGGAATACATTTTTTATTGCACATGACACTTGGAATGGCAATGCAGGAGCCTATGATGCTCTGATGTGCTCAGAACTTGAAATTGTAGCAAATCGGCCCACTGGGGGTTGGGATTTTTCATATAGTCTAAAATATTTTTATTCCTGGAAGATAGAAGGAGGAAGAACTGCTGTTGAATTAGAGTCAGGTGTTGTATGATTTTGTGTGTGTATATATATATATATATATATATATATATAAGAAACTCCTGCAGACCCGGGGGGGCGCTTGTCCCAACCAGGACTCTTAAACTTCTCACTCAGAAGATGATTTACATAAAGTTTGAATTTCTATGATTTCTTCTAGGAACAGACACTTTAGATTTAGGGTTTCAAGTTTTATCTGAAAAAAATTACAAGAAAACTAAAAATATTACTGGAATATGGAATTAAACTTATATTAATATTGCTTTCTCACTCATCCATCCCCCTCCCCATCTCTCTCTGCTCAAATTTAAATAAATAAAGAAATAAAGAAACTCAAATAAAATAATTCTTTTTTCTTTTTAATTAATTAATTTACCTTTATTCACTGAGCATTGTCACGACATACAAAATGTGATTTTCTATCCAGAATATATTGCATAGTGGCTTAATTATACTTGTTATTGTCAGAGTCAGGTGTTGTATGATTTTGTGTGTGTATATATATATATATATATATATATATATAAAAGAATCCTGTGCAGACGAAGGTGGCTTCTTTTCCACCTGTCAGCACTTTCTTTACAACCATGCATAAACCTTATTATCACACTCAGTGTGTTACTGCAGAAATTATCCCAACCCTCAGAACAGTCTACAGCTTCGAGTGGAATTCAAACTTCAATGCTGCTCATGTAAAAACAAGCAACCTAGTAAAGGAAGAGGAAGAGCAACAGACATTTTCCTTTCACGGAAAATCTGCTACCGCCCCTTTCTTCTACCATGTGTACGAGGGTAAATATTTTGCATTGAATAAAATAATTCCCGATGACACGCATTTGGCCTTGATAACATTTCCCACTGTATTCACATATATTAACCTTTGATGAAAAGACCACAAGAAGTTAAAGGCATGAGATGAATATGGCATAATTTCAGACTTTTTTTTCTGTTAACCTTTGAGTTCGGAGCTGCTGTGGCTGTGTGATTGGGGGTATATTTGGATAGAGACATTACTACCATCCTGTTCATATTTATGGGCCTGACCTTTGTGTTCTAGTAGCCTGCTTTGAAGCACAGTTATTTTTAATTGCTTTATGTGTCCACGGAGACTGTTCTTTGCATCCGTCAGTTATATACGGTACCCGGGCACATATGTTTTCTCGATGAATCTTTCAGTGACGGGATATTTATAACCACGTCTGAATACGAGGGGAGGGAATGTTGCATTTTGGGGTGGTGTGCGTGTTTTGTGTTTGTGTGGAAATGTATTTTATTGTCAACATCGCCATATACTTAATGGGGTGACAGGAAAAATTAAAAGTGACAGATTGTTCTGGCTGCACTGAGGCCATCTGAGACATAGTCTCCTAGAA